GGGCTCGGGGCAGAGAGCCGCGGCGCGGGGATCCCACTCTGGCGCTGGGGACGCGGGGGGGGGGGGGGGGGGGGGGGGCGACGCGGAACAAAGTGGTCGTGGCGGAGGAGGCTGTGGGCGGGGCCCCCGCTGGGGCGCTGGGGGCGCGGGGGGACTCGGGGCAGAGAGCCGCGGCGCGGGGATCCCACTCTGGCGCTGGGGACGCGGGGGGGGGGCGACGCGGAACAACGTGGTCGGAGCTCTAGACACCCTGTGCAAGAGAATAAGTGCTAAATCGTTAAAGCTCAACAACACTAGCAACACCACCACCACCAACAACAACAACAATTACAACAACACCAACAACAACACAACAACACCAACAACAACAACAACAACCCCAACCACAACCACAACCACAACAACAACAACAACATCAGCAACAACGCAAGTGGAACATATACACTACCAGTGGCGGGCTGCTTTTCAATCCCAGGACTTGCTGAGGGTCAGGGACGACGTCGGGGTGGAGTGGTGTATTCCCCGTTTTCCCGTTGCAAAAACGAACATGTATACACCAAAACCCCGTATACACCAGGATCCGCTGTCCTGTGCGAATTTCCGTGCGGGGCCAGAAAAAAAACGTCGGTGTATCGGGTTCGGCTCCTTACAACTCTCACAACAGATCCCCTCTTCAGCCACGCACCCAGGGACAAAGAATGACCGTTCGGCCCCTCACACAGATTTTCATTGTGGGAAATGCCACATTGAAAGACAACAGTCTGAGACTCCTCGAGGATACCAAAACGCAATTCCTGGGACCTGAGCGTTGCGAAGCAACCATATTTTGGCGTCCGGACAATCCCAAATCGTGCCAGAACACCGTTGCTTGGATTTCAACCATAGAAATCCTGTAACCTCTTGTACACTGTTAACTAGTGTGCGCGGCGCTTCTGCGGGAGCCACATGTTGAATTCATTCTGGGGAAAGCCTATTGCCTATTGCATGGGCGCGTCGCTGGGCGCATTGCTTGGCATTGCTTTGCATTGCTTGGCATTGCTTTGCAGGGGTTGGCATTGCTTGGCATTGCTGTGTATGGATTGGGATTGCTTGGCATTGCTTTGCATGCGTTGGCCTTGCTTGGCATTGCTTGGCAGTGCACCGGGGGCGGGGAACCCGAGGAAGCCGGGGAACCCGAGGAACCTCCGGGAAATGGGCAACGTAACAATAGGAGGCACAGGGGGCGGGGAACCCGGGGAACCTGAGGAATTTCCGAGCAACGGGCAAAGTAACAATAGAAGGCACCAACCTTTAACCAAGTAAGAACCCCTTAGGCAAGCCCAATTCAAGAAAGGAAAGCCCTCCACCCCTGAAGCTGTTGCATATTTGTAGGACGAACGTGTGCGGTGCTGAGGCGACATCAACAGTTTGAAAAGGACCTGCCCTCCATCCGTAAAGCTGCTGCACACGTTTAAGCTGAGTATTCACGGCGCGAAGGCGAGAGCCACATTTTGAAAATCTGCCGCCCTTCATCCGTGAATCTGTTGCAACCGTACAAGAGGAATGTTCGGATCTCCGAGCTTCTCGTTCCTGGCCTTCGAACTCATGGGATCGATGATGCGCGCCAGCACCTCTTCCTTGGCACCGGTCCATCCGATGACGCTCACCCTCCTCTCCCCCCGCCTACATTCCATTTGCTTTCTCCTCCCCTTCCGTCTCCCTCATGTTTCTCTTCTCCCCTCTTCCTCGCCATCCTGCTCCTCCTCCTCCCGCTCCGCGCCCTCGAACTGATCGGTTCGATGCTGCGTACCAGCGCCTCTTCATGGGCACCAGCCGATCCGCTGACGCACCCCGCTCAACTCGGCACGCAGACCCGATCCGCCTTTGCGGCTGACTGCCTTCCACTCGGCATGCACCCCCCAGTACAACCGTCCAGTACAATCGCCCCAGCACAACCCCCCAGCACAACCTCCCCTAGCACAACCGCTTTGAAAAGGAGTTCGCACGAGAATAAGAGCGCCGCGACTGCGTCCGCTGTCTTGTATCGAAGACGCCTACGGCGAATCACCGTCGCCCCCTGCATTTTTTGGAAGCGCCTGCGTGGCCGAAAGTTGGGTTCAAGCTTGGCCAAGCTATCGGGCCACGCGTTCCCCGAGTGGGTTTCGAAAGCTTTCGGGGAACACGGAGTCGGGCGAGCTATCGGACCAGGTAGTTTCCGAGCTTTCGGGCTTCCTGGAGGACGCTTTGGAGGGCTCTTGGGCCGTCTTGGAGGCCTCTGGCGGGCCTTTTGGGCAGTCTAAGGCTATCTTCAGGCCATTTGGGGCCGTCTTGGGTGCATCTTGGAGCCATATTCGCAGTCTTGGAGGCCTTCTTGGCCATCTTGGAGGCATCTTGGAGGCCATCTTGTCCGTCTTGGATGTCATCTTGAGCGTCTTGGGGGCCTTTTGGGCCGTCTTGGGATCTTGTTGGGGCCCTCTCGGGGGTCTCTTGGGCTGTCATGGGGCCATCTTGGAGGCGTCTTGGAGACCTCTCTTGGACCATCCTGGGGCAGTCTTGGAGCTTCTTGGGCGCTCTCGGGGCAATATTGATATCCTCTTGGGCCGTCTTGGGCCGTCGGCAGGCCGAAAACGAGCAACCCCCCAAATCCTTCAAACGCCTACAGCAAAACAATGATTGTTGCCTCTTGGGGCTCTCTTTGGGGCCTCGTTGGGTTCTCTTGGACCGTGTTGGCGGCCTGTTGGGAGGTGTTGGGCGGTCGTGGGCCATCTTGGACCATCTTGGATAGTCTTGGGTGCATATTGGGCCGTCTTGGAAACATCTAAGGGTCTTCTTGGGCTCTTTTGAAGCCATTTTGGGCATCTTGGATGCCATCTTGGGCGTCTTCGAGGCCTCTTGGGCCGTCTTGGGGTCCTCTTTGGGCCATCTTGGGGGTAGCTTGCGGCGTCTTGGCGCAGGATTGGAGGCTTCTTGGGCACTCTTGGGGCGATCTTGCTGGCCTCTTGGGCCGTCTTGAGCCGTCGGAAGACAGAACAGGAGCAAACCTCCAAACCCTTCAAAAACTCAAGGAACATCAATGACCATAATGCTGTTCGCCTCTTGGGGCTCTCTTTGGAGGCCTCTTCGGGCTCTCTTGAGACGTTTTGGTGGCCTCTTGGGGCGCGTTGCAAGGTCTTTGTTCATCTTGATGCCGTCTTTGGCAGTCTTGGGTGCATCTTGGGCCGTCTTGGAGACATCTGGGGACCTTCTTGGGCTCTCTTGGGGCCATCTTCTCCGTCTCGGAGGCCATCTTGGGCATCTTGGAGGCTTCTTGGGCCGTCTTTGGGCCCTCTTGCTGGTCTCTTGGGCCGTCTTGGGCCGTCGGAAGACCGAAAAGGAGCAAACCTCCAAACCTCTCAAAAACTCAAGGAACATCAATGACCATCAATGATGTTCGCCTCTTGGGGCTCTCTTTAGGGGGCCTCTTCGGGCTCTCTTGAGACGTTTTGGCGGCCTCTTGGGGCGCGTTGCAAGGTCTTGGGCATCTTGATGCCGTCTTGGGCAGTCTTGGGTGCATCTTGGGCCGTCTTGGAGACATCTGGGGGCCTTCTTGGGCTCTCTTGGGACCACCTTCGCCGTCTCGGAGCCCATCTTGGGCGTCTTCGAGGCCTCCTGAGCCGTCTTTGGGCCCTCTTTGGGCCATCTTGGGGGCTCTTGGATCGTCCTCGGGCCATCTTGGAGGCTTCTTGGGCACTCTTGGGGCGATCTTGCTGGCCGTCTTGGGCCGTCGGCAGGTCGAAAAGGAGCAAAAGCCAAAATCTTTCAAACACCTAAGGAACAACGATTCTTTTGACTTCTCCTGGACGTCCTGGAGGAAGAACTCTTCGAGGCCTCTTGGGCCGTCTTGGAGGCCTCTTGGAGGCCTCTGGCGCCGTCTTGAGCCGTCTTAGGTGCTTCTTGCGCGAACTTGGAAGCATCTTGAACTCTCTTGGGCCGTCTTCGAGGCCATCTTGGACCATCTTTGACGAACCTGGAGGCCATCTTGGACGAAACTGGAGGCCATCTTGGGCCATCTTGACCATCTTGGAGGCCATCTTGGAGCCGAAAAATCCTTTTGCACTCACCTGGCGGGCCGAAACCCCAGGGGGAGTTCTTTTGGGTCTAGCACGCCGGGCACCCCTGTGATGAATCAATAGGGGGCGGCGGACCTCATGGCCTTCGGCCCATCTGGGAGCGTCGGGGGGCCGAAACGGCGAGAACGCGAGGACCCCACAGGAGAATATGTTTAGCTTGCCTGGGGATCTCCTCCTGCCCCCTCGCTTCTCCCACCTACTCCTGCCTCCTCCTTTTCCTCTTGCCTCCTCCTCCTCCTGCCTCAACCCCTGCCTCCTCCTCTTGCCTCCTCCACCACCTCCTCCTCGTTTTCCTCCTCCTCGTTATGCCTCCTCCCCCCACTCCCCATGCTCCTCCTGCCTCCTGCGTCCTCCTCCTCCTGCTGCTTTCCCTCTCCCTCCTCCCCCTCCTCCCCCTCCTCCTCCTCCTCCTCCTCCTCCTCCTCCTCCTCCTCAGTATCTCGGCAGGAGCTCCGCATTCTCAACGTCCATAACCACAACCTGACGCACGGCGACAGGCAACGAGTTCGTCGAGCTTGGCTAGCCTCGCAGCGGTGGGCGAAGGACGACGAGTTGGACAGATTATTCATCGCGGCCGGGGACTTCAATATTTCTGACAAGCCGGCTTGCTCACTTACCCATCCCGCAGGATTGCCACGAGGCGAGGCGAGTAGAGCGCAGCATGGACAGCCATTCTGGCGACGGCTATTTTACGACAGCGGCATGGTGGAGATGGAAACCAACCTGCCTACACACTACTCGAAGCATCACCAATCCTGCAGCTTCATCGACCGCATCTTCATACCCGCCTCGCCGCACTACATCCAGGAGACCACTTGCACGGTCACTGTATTGCAGGAGGCCGAGCACTTGAGCGACTGGCACCTGAGTGACCATGCCATTATCGAGTTCAAGCTTCAGGTGAAGTGTCCAATGCACCAGAAGGACCAGCACATTCCAGCATTTATTTTCAAGCACCCGCCGCGGTTCAAACGGCGTGTTGAGCAGCATGTTCAGCAGACTTCGTGGGAGTATCTGAGCGTCACGCGCGCGTGGCAAACTTGCAAGGGCATCATGGTGAATGCAGCGCAGGAAACGAGGAACGAACTCATTCAGCTGCCCATCGGGGATTCCTCCGAAGGTGCGGAGGACGCACGCCGCCTCACTATGAGATCGATTGCACGATGCGTCTGGCTACAGGACGCGCGCCTGGCTTCCAGGCTGGTGGCCACCACGCAGCTCGGGCGGAAATACTTGATGATCAGCGAGACCGACGATGAGCTCACACCGAGGATCACGTTCACAGACCAGCAGGACTTCGAGCACTACACCGGCATGCTGAACATCGCTTGGGCCGAGCGGCAGCAGGCGCAGGCGGCAGAGCGCCTACAGCGCCGGCAGCAGCATGGAGTCGGAGAGCAGCGTCTGTCTGCAAGTTCGGCTAGGAAGATCGCTCGAGCGGCCCAGCGACGCGCCATGATGTGGGCGCCGCAACGTCGACGACTCGTATTGTCAGGAGTTCGCATGGCTCAACCTGGCGGTCTCCAGCAAGATCCGCATTGCTCCGGTGATCTCCCGGCGCCCCCCGGCGGGCCAAAAAGGTCACCGAGTCCACCTCGCGACCTCCAGCAAGACCCGCGTTGCGACGGTGACCTGCCGGCGCCGCCCGGGGGCCGAACAAGGCCACAGAATCAACCTCACGACCCTCAGCAAGATCCGCATGCCGCGCATTCCCATCCCGGCGAGGCGGGCATCGCTCGGCGACCGGAGGACATCATCCAGGCCATTGCAGCACATTGGGAACCGATCTTCAGGGACACCCGCGTCGATGAGGACGCAATTGATCGCTATCTGGATGAGCACATGCCTGCCCGCGCCTCGCCCAACATCGACATCCCTTCCATATCAGACATGCGGCGGGTGCTAGCACGCGTATCAGATTCTGCGCCTGGCCCAGATCGACTGCCGTATTCGGCGTGGCAGGCCAATGATAAGTTCGTCGAGTGCTTGTTCGGCATGATGCTGCACATCTTTGCCGGCCACCCGGTGCCACCTGGTCTCAATTATGGAGATTTGGTGATGTTGCCGAAAGGCGACGAGTTCGAGGACCGCGTTGAAATACTTCGGCATCCACATGCGGTACGACCACTCCTGCTCAAGAACACGGACAGCAAGCTCCTTGCGGCCACGATCAATTTGAAGCTGAAGACCGTGGCGCAGCAGGAAGTCCACGTCATCCAGCAGGGCTTCATCCCGCAGCGCCAGTTTATCCAGCATGTTGCACAGCTGGACGCCCAATCGCGCATCGCTTCGAACCAGTTGGATGCGGTCGAGGCCAAGCCATGCTTCATCAGCTTCGACGTGAAGGCGGCCTTCCCTTCGCTGGCGCGGGGGTGGCTTTGGAGAGTCCTCCGACGATTCCTCTTGCCTGACGGGCACATCAACGCCATCATGTCGCTCTACGAGAACGGCTTGGTCTTCAGCCGCATTGGGCACCTCCACGTGCCGATGTTCTGGGCCACAGGCGGCGTCGCCCAAGGTTGCCCGTTGTCGGGAACTTTATGGGCGATGGACCCCATACTGCGGCACCTACATCGTGAGATCGTCGCCACCGGCAAGGGCGACGCCGGAGCATGCGCAGACGACGTCGGGGCCATGCTGAAGAGATTCGAGCACCTCCTGAGCGTGCGCCCCGTTTTCGAAGCCTCTGAGCGGCTAGCGGCATTGCATTTGCAAGCCGCGAAAACAGTGCTCGCGCCATTATGGTGCGAGGTCTCTCCGGACGTGCGCCTAGAGATCGAATCGCAGCTGCTACGGCTGATTCCAGAGTGGTCGAGATTTAAAGTTTCCGGTTTCGCCCGGTACCTGGGGTCCAAATTGGCCCAGGAGCCACCAACCTCGATCAATGGAAATCGGCCGAGCAGAAATGGCTAGAGCGAGCCTACATCATCCCCACCACTCGTGCCCCCTCTGATGCCTCCCTCCGCTCCTACTCCACCCAAGCCTTGTCAGTGCTATCATTTCTGGCCCAGTTTTTCCGCCCTCTCCAGTCCATGCTTGATCGTGAACGCCTCTTATTGCATCGTGTTTTGCGCCTCCCTCCGAATTCATTCGATGGCCCTACGCTTCACTCATTGTGTGGCTGGGTCCCGGGAGGGCGCCATAAACCGCTTGCGCCCTGGTGCCAGGCTCACCTGTGGCACACGGGTGGCTTTACGGTACAAGAATGGGGCCCCTGGATCGAACAGTTGCGAACCAGCGCGGAAAACTGCCGTGAAGTTGTCGCGATTATCCGCGGCGAGTGGTCTGGGCCATTATGGAAGGAGCCGCAGGCCATAGTACAGAGGTGGGCCGAAGCATTAGACAGCATACCGCGGCATAAAATGTCACGGTCGCGCCTATGCACGGCAAGCCAGGCAGCGACCCAAGGATGCGCTGCTGCCGCTGCCGAGCAGCGCCGAGCACGGCCCCAGAGTCTGTACCTCTCCTCCCTCGTCGCCTCCCTCTACCCCGACACCATGCCCAGCCTCTTGCGGAGGCGGTTTGAAAAATGGGTTGGTGAATTAGCTGCGCCAGAGCTCCGTGAGCTCCAGCAGACCTGGCCGGAGCTGAAAACGATTTTCATGAATTCGAGGCCAGCGTGGGTTTGGGCACACATCAAAACCATAGTGGGCGGTTGGACGACCACAAACAGAGTCAAGGTCGAGGCGCCTGCCAACTGCCTTTTCGGATGCCCTCATCGTCCGGATTCTTTTCCTCACTACCTCACTTGCCCCCGCCTCCTTGGCTTCATGTCCCTCGTCCGCTCCCCTCTCCCCTCCGACCCCGTCATCCGCATCGGGCTCGCTCTCCCGTCATTGTATACTTCCCAGCTCGAGCGAGAGAGTGCCCATGCATACACGGTGCTGTCATTTCACTTTTATAACAAAGTACGGCACGCTGCATCCCCACCCCAATCTCCCTCATCATACGTTCACTTACTGCGCGCAGCTCAAGCTGCCATCAGCATGTAGATGAGATCGGCACCTGCTGCGCCTCATGCTACTTGCGCTCCTCTTCCTCCTCCTCCTCATCCGCCTCCCCTCTCCATCTTCCTCTTCTCCTTCTCCCTCCTCCGCCTCCTCCTCTTCCTCCTCCTCGTCTCCATCTTCCCCCCCTCCTCCGCCTCCCCCTCCTCCTGCCTCCTCCTTAGGTTTCCTGCCTCCCCCTGGGGACTCTTGGGGCCTCCTGGAACCTTCTGGGCCTCCCGGGACATCCTGAGGCCTCCTAGGGCACTCCTCTTCCTCCATGTCCTCCTCGTCCCTCTCGCCCTCTGCTTCATCCTCCCCCTCCTGCTTCTTTTTCTCCTCCTGCATCCTCCTTCCTCCTTCCTCCTCCTCCTCTTCGTCCTCCCGGAACACGACCCAGAGGAAACGCACGACGTGCGTCCCGGCGGATACGCGCGGGAGGACGATCCAAAGAAAACGCGCGCCAGAGGACGACCCGGAGGAAGCATGAAAGGTGCGGGCCCCATAGGAAAGGGGTTCCCGCCTGAGTGGTCTTCGCAGTTCACTCACAGACAAGGTTCCTGCCTGAGACTTCCTGTTTATTCAGGCCTCAGGAGCTTAAAAGTGACGACAATTACACGTTCGAGGATGACCCGCTCGGATTACCAACGTGAAGTGCGGGCCCCATGGGGGGGGGCTCCCGCCTGAGACTTCCTCACAGTTCACTTACAAACGAGGCTCCCGCCTGATACTTCCCCCAAACTCAGGCCTCAGGAGCCCAAAAGTGATGACAGTTCCAGGTTCGAGGATGACCCGTTCGGATCACCAACATGAAATGCGGGCCCCATGGGGAGGGGGTTCCCGCCTGAGACTTCCTCTGATAGTTCCCCCCGCATTCAGGCCCCAGGAGCCTAAAAATGATGACAGTTACAGGTTCGAGGATGACCTGCTCGGATTACCAAGATGAGGTGCGGGCCCCATAGGGAGGGGGCTCCCGCCTGAGACGTCCTCGCAGTTCACTTGCAGGCGTGGCTCCCGCTTGCTGATGTTGAGTGATGAGAGAGAGAGAGAGAGAGAGAGAGAGAGAAAGAGAAAGAGAAAACAAACAAACAAAGAGAAAGAGAGAGAGAACGAGAGACAGCATGCGGTGTGCGACTGAGTATGTTCTTGCGCGGGGTGTCCAGAGAAAGTGATGTTGAGTGATGGGAGGGAGAGAGAGTGTGTGTGTGTGTGATGTGCGACTGGGTATGATGATGATGGTGGTGGTGATGATGATGATGATGACCGGTGACGGGGTGAATGCGCGAGTGAGGCGACAGTGGGGGGAAGGTTCTTGCGCGGAGGGTGTCCAAAGAAAACCACTTTGCATGTGGGGGGAGTCCCATGGTAAATCACTGATATTGGCCTCTTGGGGGGCCTCTTGGAGGTTCCTTGGGGTGTTTTCTGGGCCTCTTGGGCCGTCTTGGACCCATGTAAGGCCTCTTGGCCCGATCACTCGGCGACTCGAGGCCGTCTTGGGCCGTCTTGAGAGCCTCTCAGGGCTCTCCTAGCCCGTCTCGTGGCGCTTTTGGGCCCGCAGAAGTCACGCGGGGAGACCAGGTGGAGCCCATGGGAATCGCGGCAAGCCCCGAGAGATTTGGCAATTTGGGTTCCGCGGCCCTTGGAGACTCTTCAGGTTTGAGGACTCAGGCTCTGGCGATGAAGCGAAGGACTTGAGGACACACCCTCTCCTTGCCCAGAGGCACGGTGGCGGACTTCAAGCGGACAGCCACTAGCATCTGAACTTCCCTTTTAGTCCAGCATCTGAGTAACAGAGAACATCTTTCGATGATGCATATTTTCATGTCATACTTTACCTCTCGCCTATCTGCTCATGCATGCGGCATAGAGAAGCCATGTTGTCTTACACGCCAGAGGGGCAACCGATGGTTTTGCTTGCGGTATCAGTTCGATTTGGTAACAGCTGTGGCATCAGTTTCAGGTTGTTGGTTCTGACGCTAATACTTGTATTCCACGGCGGACTGTCTCTATGATGGTACCTCCTACTGCGCCAGCTTCCCTTCGGGGCTCAGAGCCAGGCCACCTGGCGTGCACGTGACGTCACATCGACCGACGGGCACGCCGGCTGACGCGTGCACGCCACGGCCCTCAGCCACCAAATCTCTACGCCCCCAACCGCCATCAACCAATTGGCAACACGTTAGCCTACCCCATGTCCACCGAGTGGCATCCCACCGCAGCCGGGCCAGGCGCAACACTACGAGATGAACCTTACACCCATGTGGAGGTTGACGGCCATTCCAGCTCCAAACCACAAGGACCTCGACACCGCCGACACCATCTTACGTACTTTTGCACTACATCAGGGCCACATTTTACCCGGTATCATACGGATGCGAATTCGACCACCCTTGGGGCACATGCGACGAGGAATGGACGACGCACGCGCCAGCGGCCCGCCTCGGGACCCTTTCGGCAAAGTAAGCCTCCGAGAGTTCATTCGCGAAGGTCATTCCAGGCTCGAGGCGACAAGTGGGGTGATGACTCCAGCGCAACCAGCCGCTGCATTGCAGCGCCGCCTAGTCTAGACAGGGCGCTAGGCGCGCCGTCCTCGACCATCAACTACGGCATAACCCTAAATAGTCAGCGCGCGGACACTGCTACCTGCATCGTGTCCTTTCCCAGTGCCGAATTGGATAGTCTCTGGGCGAGCGCCAGCTGACCTCAGGCACAACCCTCATCGAATCCGCTGTCGAACGGGGTGAGCGTGTCGATTCGGTATTTGCCCGATTCGACATGGGCAGATTGGAAGAAGACTCAGTTGGATTCAACATTTCAAACTTCGAGATCTTGGCGCTCCTGTTGTTTCGTGCTCTTGGAGCAGGTACTCCCCAGCCCTCGCATCTGGCGCGGCCACTCAAAGACCAGATGCCCCGAAACAATCAATAACGTGGAGCGAATGCGCAGGTGCGGACGCGCAGCTGAGCGCGCTCCTGGAGACGCCTGCGGGCCATCCAGTGGTCGAGGCAATGGTGCCGGCACATTCCACGTTGGCGCGAGCATCGCCTTGGCGACCACGCCAGGCAATATCTGGGATGATCAGGGGCCGCGCGAATCCACGACGCTCGAGGCCAGGGAATTGGCAACGCGCAAACAAATGGTTCGAAACATTGCTCATGTGGCCAAGGGCCAGCCGCAGCTGCGTTCGCTGTCGCTCTACCAGCTGCAAACACCTTTGGGGGTTCGGTAGGCCAATGACCAGACTCGCCCTCCGACTCGGGGGCCGACGCTGACGCCGCCTTCCGGGCGGGTGTCGCTGAACGGCCAGGCGGCGCTACGCTTGCACCTAGGCTGCCATCTTGCTGCGCGCCGTCGGAGGCGCGACGGGCAACCTGCTGAAGGGGGTTTCATGAGTGGAAGGCGGGCGCCCAAGTTGCGCGGGCGAGGATTGCGCTTTCCTGGCGGATCTTGATTTTGAGGTCGCCGTCGCTCGGCGGCGAGGGCGCGGGTCTCCGGCGCGCATCTCGCGGGGCAGGGGCGCAAGTGCAACCCCGCGGGCGCAGGCGGCAAGAGAGGGGGGCGCAGCGGTGGCGCGAGTCACTTCAAGGCACGGCGCGCGGCTGGTAGGGGACGCGGAGATGGCGCCGCCCTGTCCGGGCGGGAGTTTCGGGCAATCTCGAGCGCGTAGATTTTCCCGAGTGAGTTTTCCTGGGGCGCCATCTGGCACTACGTGCTCCCTGATGGCCAGGTTTACCGACGTTGCGCCGGCCGTCGAGAGGCGCGCCGACGTTTTGCGCGATGGCGTCCGCGAGGGCTCCAGAGCCCTCGCCTTGCCTGAACTAGCTCGGGTTTTCCGCGCGCGGGCGCGCGCGGGCCGGCGCCGGCGGCGACGTTAAGTTCGGGCCCGACGGCGCGTCCGCAGCGGGGGCGCCCCCTGCCTCGGAGCAGGAGCTGGCGCATATCCAGCTCGGGCGCGAGCAGGATGGGCGCGCCCGCGAGGATGGCGGCCGAACTCAACCACCTGGAGCCGTCGCCCTCCGCAGTTGGAATATTGGTCGGGGTCAGATTTCCACTTCCGCTTTTTTACGACGTGGAACAGGTGGGCGCCCGTTGCGGCCCCCGCTGTAAATTGCCCCAGGGCAAAAGGCTGCGCGCGCGAAGGCAAGGGTTGCAGCGGGGCGCGCGCGCGCGTGGGTGGGTGGGTGGGCGGGGGGGGCGAGGATGAGCTATCCCCGGCAGACGCTAAAAAGTATCAGACGTTATCGGCGAGAGCTTGCTATCCAGCAGACAGTCTGTTCGCGGAGAATGGAACTTGGCAGGGGTGCGCCACGCCCTGCCAGCGGGCCCGGGAAAGCTTCAGTTGAGCCTGGGATGTTGCTACACAGCGCACAGCAGTTTCAGCTACGTATACAGGTGCCAGGAGTTGCGCGTGGAACGAACTACATGGACTAACGCGGACTACGCGGAACGCGAGAAGTCCAATCAGAGGTCCAGTCAGCCCACGAGTGGAGGAGTAGCTTGCGCGGGGAAACACCATCAAGTCGTGGAGTTCGCGGGGCGCGATAGCGTCAGCATCGGGTGAAGCAGAGTATGATGCAATGGCAAAAGGAGCAGCATTGGAATGGGGCATGCAGTGAGTATTGAAGGATTTGGAGATCTAGGTGAAGTGAACCCCTTCAAAGTGACGACAGCACGACAATTGCTCTGACAAGCAGAAGATGTGAGGCTTCTGAAAAGTGAGGCATTTTGAATTTTGCAACTGCGGCTGCAGAGGTAGTGAGGAGAGGAGACATACAACGCACGTTTACGGTTGATGTGCGGGCAAAGGGGGGCGAGCGTTCGTTGGCCGCATTCGATTGCACGGCAGCTGTTCTGGCTTATAGTGAGGCCCTCAGGAGGGCATGCTTCCTGGGGGCTCGCGCGCTCGCGCCCCCGCCGCGCTGCAGGCCGAGCGGCCTCGAGTCTGCGGCTGGTGCGGGGGGCGGCTCGCCCCCGGCGAGAGCCTCGCCATGGCGGAGGCTGGCGGGCTGCTGGAGGTGCGCGAGCTGTGCTACTTGCTCGCGCTCGCCAGGCGGGCGGCGCGCGAGGCACGGCGGTCGCGACGCTCGAGCCCGATGCCTCCCAAGGCGAAGGGCAAGGCTAAGGCCATGGGCAAAGCCAAAGCCAAGACGGCCCCTGGCGGAGGCGGTCGCGTCCGCGGGCGGGGCGCTGCAGTCGCTCACCGACGCGTGCGTGGGCGCGCTGGAGCTGGGGCTGCTGGCGGAGGCGGAGCTCCTGCGCCCGGCGGGGCCAGCGCCCTCGGCGGAACCGCAGGCCCCCCGCTGGCCGGCGCGGCGGGGGCCCCGCGGTGCCAGGACTAGGCGCCCTGCCTGGATTCCCTGGCGGCCTCGACGGCGTCGGAGGCGGCGCGACGCCTGCTCGGCCTGGCGGCGCGGGCGCGGTGGGCGCTGGCGGCGTCGGCGTTGGGGCCGCGCTAATGGGCGCGCTCGCTGCGCCTGGCGGCGCAGCTGCTGGCGCGGGGGCGCCGCCTGCTGCTGCAGCCCTCGGAGCTGGGGTGCCCCTCGGAGTGCTTGGGGCGCTGCCATCCCAGCGGCCGGAGCGCAGCTGGACGCGCTGGCAGACGGCGCCTGGACGCCGGCATCGGTGCTGTTGGGGGCTGGCTGGGCCCAGGGCACGAACGTGGAGCTGCCGACGCACAACGCCATGGGCGGTGTCAGCGGCACAGCGCTGTTCGAGGTGGACGAGGTCGGCGCGCCTGGCGCTGCGGGCCAGTGCCTGAGCGCCCAGTTCAGGGGGGCGTCGCTGCCGACCGAGGCGACTCGCCTCGACGGTGCCTTCCCGCCTCGTGGAGCTGGGCCCGCGGGTTTGCCGCCCCTCTGCGCGCGGGGCCCTGCGCGCTGCGGCGAGCCCGCGCAGGCCGGGCGCGCCGTCCTGCATGCGGAGTGGCTGCGGCTTCGGACTGCGCGGGGGCTGGTGGGGCCCTGGGCGCGGCCGAGCGCCTTCGGAGACCGCGGCGGCGGCGGGGCTCGACAGGCCTGGGGGCCCATCCCTGGCGGTGCCGCGCCTGTTCGCTTGGCGGCCGCGGCCCTCGCAGGAGGTGGAGCTCGCGCCCGCGGCGTCGGCGGCCACGGCAGGCGGCGGCGGCGCAACGAGTCAGGTAGCCGCAGTGATGGCGACGGCGAGCCGCGTTTTCGCGACGCCCCCTCCCGCGGCGGCAGCGCGAGGCTGCTGGCGGAGAGGCAGCCCGGCGCCTTATACGACGAGGCGACGCAGAGCATCGCTCGCGTGATGGGCCTGCGGGGAGGGGCGGGCGGTTCCGAGACGCGTCCGAAGGTGGTCGGCTACTTGCAGGCGATCGTCTTCGGTCACCCAGTCTCGCAGCTGCGGGTCGACACGGCGCGCGAGCTGCAGACGCTGGCAACGGCGCTGGACCTACTGGAGAGCGGATCGCTGCCGCAGGTGTGCGACATCTTGACGCAGAGGTTCAAGGCGCTGGAAATCTCACTGTCGGATGCGAGCTGGCAGGTGGCGAGCGAGCTGGAGATCGTGCCCGACGCCAGACCGCCCCTCGCCTCGATGGACGAGCAGGGCCCGGCGCGCCGCTCGGCGGTGCTGCGGAGGCGGCTGCAGGACGCCAAGAGCCGCGGGGCCTTCGGGAACCCGGGCCGCGGTGGCGAGAGGGCGCGACCCGCGGAGAGGGCGCGGGGGAGCTCGAGAGCACGCTCGCCCTCCCCGCGCGCCCCGCAGGGCACGAGGCAGCCTGTTCCCGGGCGGGGGAAGAGCTTCTCGGTCTTCTTGGCGCAGTTCGGTGCGAGTCTCCTCCCCGCCTCTGGGCCCCGCGGCGTTCTCGCCCCGGACGCTTGGCGACGGTGGTGCACTCAAGGTGCGATTCTTGCTGTGGCCTGGGGGGTGAGTTCTGTGGCTCGCGCGCACTGGTGCCGTCGTTTCCGAGGGATCCTAAGCTCTGACAACAGCTTTGGCCAACAGGGAGTACACATACAGCGCGCCCTTTTAAAGTATATGATCAAGGGTTGGGCCTGCCTTTATTCCCGAAGAGCTTCTGCTCATAACCCCGCCCGCACACGCGCACATAGTCAATATTATTGCAGATGAGGACCCAGCCAATACATTACCTGCGTACGTCAGCATCGATATACTTTGGAAGTGCATGCGCGACGCGAGTAAGCTCGCTCGCGAGGGTGGGCGCGGGTTGCCACCGGCCCGCAGGTGTCTGATATCATGGAGTTGCTACGATTGCTTCTCTTGTTTCTGAACCTCTCTAGATCGCAGGTCGCCACCGTTGCAATGGCGCCCGATGGCCGCTCACTCTCGAGCGCGTGGCGTTCCTAGTTGACCAGGGGCCCCTTACCTGCCACCGCGACCGGGCCCAGCCCTGGTCAAGAGTTTGCCGAGGGCGACCTGCTGGGGCGCTTCACCATGCAGAAGTTGATCATGGGCCGCGTGGGATTACGCGACCGAGGGCCGCGCCCGCCGTTGCGTCGAGCAGCCCGAGTTGAGCCGCGACGCGCGTCGTGCTGAGCAGCGGCGGATGTTGGCGGACCGCGGCGCTACGTTACAAGAGACGCTAAACGCCCGCATCCGAATCACTGGGGTCAACGAGGAGATGGGAATGTCAAAGTGAGTTCGACCAGACCAAGGAAACGTGCCAGCTGCTCGGAGAGCAGGTTCACCAGCTCAACATGGCCCAGGGCAGCGACGAGGAAGCCCGAGCTGTTGAACGCCGCAAAATCGGGAACAACGTGGTCAGTGTAGCAGAGTTAGCCAATGACGGTTCGCAGGATGCCCATCGGTTACCCGAACCAGCCAAGCTCCAAGTCAAAGCCAAGCCGAAGTTGCACCTCAGACATCGGAGATCTCTGACAGGGAACACTCGATTAACGACTTGCGTCTCCCTCGGCGAGTCCAACATTGCTGAGGTTGCCGGTGAGGCGCGCCCCCCGTCGCTATCTGGCAACCGGCCATCTCCGCCGCCAGTCCCGAGCCCATCGCCGACCGAGGTCGCCGAGGGGGGCAATTCGGCCAAGGGGCGCAGCCATTCCAGGTCTACGATGGACGATCGTCGCCTTCGCCGCGGCGGCAAGATCTCCGGCGGCAGCTCCGAGCTGTTACTCGACTGCATTGGGGGCGCGTTGAGCAGCGCAGGCGCGGGGCGGCCCCTCCGCCTCCAGCGAGAAGTCTCCCGCCAGCTCAGGCGCCCGTCGCCGGCGAGCAAATTAGGATCGCGCCCTCGCGGGGCCCCAGAAGACGCCGCTGTTCACGGACTACCGCGAGGCTCTGGTGTTCGGCGACGCGCGCGACCCCAATTCCATTGCTATTTCGGACCCGCGCAATATTTAATTTCAGACGATCCGCAACTTCTGGCGCAGTTACAGCGGCTGCGTATTGGATCGGCGAGCCAGCACCCAGGCCCCCTGCGAACGTTGGTTGCGGGGAGGATATCATGGGCGACTGCGAGAGTTTCCAGCCGAGCTTCGCGCCACTAGTCGAGGACATGCACTGGCGTGACTCATGGCGCTGTTAGAGGGCCGCCTGCGCCGCAGACGACTCGCCAGGCACGGGGCCGAGCAGCGCGAGTCATGGGCTGTGGCGGTCTCAGCATTGCAGTCCAAGTTGCCCCGGGGTCACCAGAAACTCAGAAACTCCGTTGAATTGCACCCCTCCTTCGGGGGGGTCGCTATGGGCACCGCGGCCGTCAGGTCCGCCACCCAAGTGTTAGCCAAGTATTTCCTCGAGATCGCCAGCGCGTTGGCGATTATACTGGCAGGCGGACACCTCTCGATCATATAAATCGAGATGGGATCCGGGCCGACCTGGGGCCGCCAGAGATCGCCTGGCACCAGACGACCCCGAAGGTTTCGATGTCCACCAACGCTCGTTCCGTCCACGAGCATGCTGGCTGAATGCCATTCACCGCTCCGGGCGCGAAGCATCTCTCGACGCTACTCGTGAATTTTACGCGCAGATGGAAGCAGCCGCTTGCTGGTCATCCCCAACAGTGGTTGCGAGCTCTGTCGCATGTGGCACGACGGCCCTCGCTTCCCGCGGCGCCCGCGCACGCCCGACCGCGCCCGTGGGAGGCCGCTGGTTTGCGCGACCCCTGTGCTGACGAGACCGCCAATTGCAAGGGCCATGTTAACGCGGATGGGCGTCGCAGGTGTTGGACCCACATCGAGCAGTTCTAGAATGCTTGGTCGAGCTCGGACTATTGCGACCCAGGTGACGCCGCTAACACGTCACCCATGTTGTGGTCCGACTACCACGGCGGCGGCGCAAGGAGGGCCGGTGGCCGGGCGCCGTTAACGCGCTGACTAGGGCGATGTTTCCATGGCTGAGTTTCGATTGCCACGACCACGCTAACCTGTTGACATGACCGTCGCTCCCGCAGTATTCGACTGCGCGAGTGAACTGCCCAGCTCTCATGACCGTTACTCTCGTTGGTTGCGACGGCGTTTCAACCGCCCCCGCCAAATTTGCGCGCGGCGCCTCCCCCGCCACGTGCGCGGCCACCGCTGGCCGCGGGGGGCGTTCAATACATGGATGTCGACGGGGCCATGGGATTTGATACCATGTCGCAGAAAGGCGGAGTACGACTCACGAGTGAATATTTTGCATTGTTTGGCCCATTATGTCTAGTTGCGAAGCTGTCGCCCCGCTTCGCGCGCGGTTAATGACATCGCCCTGTTGCGCCCGCCACTGCAGATATTGCAGGAAGACGGGGAGGGGCAGGACGATGGGGGGAGGGGCAGGAGGAGGACGACGAGGAGGAGGAGGAAGAGGAAGAGGAGGCCAAGGCTGAGGCAGGCAAAAAGCCCCTCCTTGAAATCATAGTCGCGGCCCTGGCTAAACTCATCATGGAATATCATGAGCAGGATGCTTGGAGGGTTAAGGCTGCGTGTAAGTTATTTGGCCAGCCATGATGGGGACTACCACAACCTGGGCCTTGTGTTTCTACCCGTCAGGACTGGCGACAAGCGCAGATAGATCAGCCCTTCATCGACGACCTCGTAATCGACTTTGAACTCCCAGTTGTAACCTGGCAGGAGGCGCTAAGAGCGTGGCTTCGTAGTAAAGCCTCGACGTGCCTTGGAGTCTGCATTCGCGCGGCCATGGCCAACGCCGCCGCCTGCCCGATTCGCAGAGTTGTCGCGCCCAGGCTAGGCTCTTGAGAAGGCCAAGGCCCTTTATGTTGATGCCTTGGCGGTTGCGGTTTTGCTGCGCGTTGCGGCCTTGTGGCCAAGGTTCAGCGCGAGGCTGCTCGACAAGATTGGCGCGGCCCGCGCGGGCCTTCCGCGGGCTGGCCTACGTTGGGCCGCCTCCAACAACGCGAAACAACACCTCACCCGCGCTGAAGTTTGGACGAAGGGCCAATCAAGTTGTTACCGCGGATGTTCTGGCAAGTGCTCGGCCTCGGACCTGAGGGCGCATGATTTATCGGGCGCCACCAACCGCCGAAAAGGCACGCGCCTGAGCGCGCAACCCACGCCAGGTAAAAGGGTGGGAAACGGCACTAAGGAGGCAGCTGGCCCCCCCAAGGGTCCGCTGGTCATTGATTGCCCCCCTGAACTTCATGCGTCACGGATGCGGGTGCACTGCGGCTGCCCAGATATTCATGCGCATGCACCTCAGTAAAATGCACCCCTCCTTGGAATCCCCCGCAGCCTTGGCACGGGCGCGCGCCGTCAAGTTTGTCTGGGTGATTTTGGACAAATCCCAACACGCATCGAGCATTTGCGAGTTGCCCCTGCACGCCGCCGCGCACGGGCAGAGTCGGGATTCAGACCGCCCAAGGTTGAGCGCGAGGGGGCCGAGGAGATTGCCAAGGAGGTCTCAGCTGCAAACCGTGCAGAGGGTTTCCGTGAAGCCAAAGCTGGTCCCCCTCCCCGTCTTGTTTCGGACCGCCCATTGCCGCGCGTTGGCGATGCTCCGGGAAGCGGGCATAGGAAGAAGTAGTTGGCATCCCCTCCGTTCCGCCATTCGGTACCCCCGCCCAAGTCCCTTGGAAGCCTTGGCCTCTTTGGGCCCATTCTACCATTTTTGTGCTTCGCCTTTTTTTTTCCGGGGTTTAGGAGGCACGGCAATGTCTCGTGGTTCTTGGAGCAGGCAGTTTTGGAGCTACCCCCTCGCCTGCGCGTTAGTAGTGTAGATATTGCCCGGGACCCTGAGTGCGGGGATGTGACAAATGACCAGACAGTCGCCACCTGACTAGACTTGATCAGATCGGGCAGAGCGGTGACAGTTTTTGCTGGAACACCGTGCGAATCGTTGTCGGCAGCCCGTCATGTCCCGGCACCCCAGCCCACTGGACCCCCCGGGCCTCTGGCATCCCCTGATTTCTGCGGGGGCCGGGGCACTGAGGGAGTCGCGAAAGGCAGCAGGTGGACCTTGGAAATAAGATGCGCTGCGCGCTGCCATCAGTTTTGTGAAGCTTGCGCGGATGTTCGGAGTGCCTGCCGCATTGGAACACCCTGCCCCATGCGCGCGGCGCGCAGGCGTGCCATCTTCTTGGCATCTACCGAGCCTCAAGAGGCTCGCTGATCAACCGGGAGCGCGCGCCCATCTCATCCACCAGCCGTTGGGGGCCGGGCAAACAAAAAACAATCGCGCCGATGGCAGGGCGCCTTGGCGCCACACAGAGGTTCCTTCGAGCCGAGCATGCAGAGCGGTTGTGATTGCGCCGGGGCACGCGCGCGCGTTTCTCTCCGCGGACCGGGCGCGTCGGGCGCCCGGGTTTTGGCGCGAGCTAAGGCTAAGACTTACCCTCCATGCTTGTGTAGTGTTGTAAGGCCACAGCCCTTCTTGAAGAGATACGGCGCCAATTTCCCCTCATGCGTGCTGAACGCCCCATGATATTTAACCCTGATCCTCCATAGCCAGCCGTCTCGTTTGATTGGAGCCTGTCTCAGGACCGTGCTTCGCGCATGCGACTGGGCATTGACGCCGTGGAGGATAGGTGGGATATCTCACGAAGACCCCGTGGGTTTTCTGCCCCCGGGATCTTTACGTGGTCGGGGGAATTGCCATGGACTGTGCCATGCACCAGTTTCACAATGTGCGGAGCGTGTAAGGAACCACCTTCATTTCTTTCCCTCGCACCGCCCATTCTGACCATCGTTGCAACACATAGGGGATGTAGGGTGAAATGCTGGGTTGGGAATGTGTTCCGCGCTCGAGGGCGACGCCAGTGCACGCTCACTTTATGAATCAGTAGGTTCCAGGTGTGGCACGATTCGTGCCACTCTAACCCGAAGTCTCCGTGGGTGAAGGCTGCGCTATTTCACATTTCTCGTTTATTTCCCAAGTCTTGCCGCCGAGCTCGCCACTTTACGACGGTGACCCAGTGTTGCATGTGTGATGCTGCTTCTCGCCAACCTGTCACCTGCGCCTGCTGGCGCAGGCAGGAGCTTGGCACCGCCGCGCCGCCGTCGCCGCTGCCGCCATCTCCCATCTCTTTTCATGTTGTTCCAGATGATTGTGCTTTGGCTTCGTTAACTTCTCCGCCCGATGACCGACCGACCGAGGAGGAGGAGGAGGAGGAGGAGGAGGAGGAGGAGGAGGAGGAGGAGGAGGAGGAAGAGGATGAGGACAACGAGGTGGACATGGGCCCCCCTCCCTCCTCGTCCATCCCTCCCTCCTCCGCCTCTCCTTCCTCCTCTCCCGCGGAAGTGGACGACGATTGCTAATTGCGAATTGCGACCACGACGACGACGTCAACGTCGACGAAGGCTTCGAAGACCCAAACCCAGCCACGACGACGACAGCGATGCCGAGTTGTACCCCAGCGACCACGACGACGACGACGACGGCGACGTCGTCGATCACGACGATCGTCACGACCACGACGACGACGCCGCTGACAACCACGATGACGCCGCTGACAGTGCCGGCGACGACGACGACGATGTTGACGACGACGAAGACGATTATGACGCCGACGACGACGACGGCGGCGGCGGCGGTGGCGGCCGGTGGCGGTGGCGGCGGTGGCGGCGGTAGAGGCGGCGGCGGCGACCACGACCACCACGACCACCAGGAGGATCACCACGACAACCGTCACGACCATGACGACGAAGCGCCGGCTCCCAGCGCGGGCCCTCGACGCCCTTGACGATCAGTCCCCGGGCAGCAGGGTCGAGGGCCAAGGCGGGGCGGCCAGCGCCAATTTGCTTGGGGGGTTTGGAGGAAGGAGGGGGATGGAAAGAGGGCAGGGGAGGGAGGGGGAAGGGGGGGGAGGGGACTAAACCAGCGATCTAAGCATCTAAGCGTCTCAAACATCTGGGCAACGACGCGAAAAATTAGAAAAGTAGAAAAGTGCAAAGAGTAGGAAAGTAGAACAGTGCGACAAGTTTGAACGAGGGCGAACAAAAACGAAAAGTATAAAAGTGAGAATAAGTACGAAAAGTAGAAAAGAAGTAGAGAATTGCCACAAGTGCGAAACACACGAAAAGCAGAAAAGTCGAAAAGGGTGAGAAGTGCGAACAGTAGAACAGCGCGAAAAGTAGAACCGAGAAGAGTGCGAAAAGTGGGCGAAGTTCGAAGAGGAGAAATGGGAAAAGTAGAAAGCAAAAAAGTGTGACAAGTGCGAGAAAGCGCGACAAGTGCGAACAGTAGAAGCGAACAAGTACGAACAAGTGCGAAAAGTGCGACAAAGTGCGAAGCGGACAGTAGAGAAGTCGAAAAGGGCAAAACATGCGAACAGTAGAAGAGCGCGAAACATAGAAACGAAGAAAAGTGCGAACAGTGCGTAACGCTGTAAATTCTCGAACCATAGAAAAGTACGAAAAGTACGGAAAGTAGAAAGTAGAAGAGTGTGAAAAGCGCACAAGCACAAGCATAACAGTGTTCAAGCGGGGAACGTGCGTTGGAATATTTTGAAAATAACGAAACGCGGCAAAGCGGGACTTGCGCGATAAGCGCGAACGTAGATTCAGAAACGCGCGGGGGAGGACAAACATTTTAACAGTGTGCAGCGCGAGAAGCAGGACAAGTTCGAAACCTTGGGGGCCCCTTTGGGGCCATCTGGCAATCCATCGGTGAAAGGAGGGGGGTTCTCAAGTAGTGCCCCCCGTCTGGGCAAGAACATGTGTCTCTTGGGGCGCTCTTGGGGCGCTCCTGGGCACTCTTGGGGCCGTCTTGGAGCCATATTGGGTCCTTCTTGGAGCCATGTTGAGGCCTCACGAGCCCATCGAAAGTGAAAAAGTAAGAATGCAAAAAAGCATTGAAAACATGGATTTGAAGGATTTGGGTTTTTGGGGGAAGCTTCTTTGGGAGGCTAGAAGGGCACTTGAAGCCGTTCTGGGGTTGCTCTTGTAGACATGTGGGAGGCTATCTTGGAACATCTTGGGATACCGAGGGTGGTCGTGGAGGCCATCACGGGCTCGCTGGGGCCCTCGGGGAGACACAGGGGGCCAGGACGGACCATCTGACACCTCGCGGGTGGGGTTCCAGACGCAAGGGAAGGGGGCAGGGAGGGGGTCCCCCCCCCCTCGAAGGAGGGAAGATGGGGGGAAGCAGAACGGGACCAGTTGGACTCGGCGGGCCTCGCAATTGGGCGGGAGAATTCATGGGGACAGACCGCAGTTCTTTTCTTGTCGGCCGCCCATTGGTCCGAATGAGAGTTGCGCGGCGAGGGCTGCGCCGGCAGCGAATAGCTTGACGCCCCTTTCACTGTGCTTGTTCGGGTTGGCCCTCTCCTTCTTGGGATCAGGCCCTGGTCCATGCTGCTCTGCTCGAAGTGCACCCCCTTCCAACGCGGACAGGCGGGGGCGGGGCCGCGCCCCGTCCCCGCCGGGGCCCTACCCCCGGCGCGCCCAGGCTGCGACGCCGGATCCCCAGAAGGCGGCGCGGCGGGGCCCCTGCTCGGCGACTACAAAGGGTGTGCTTACTCGGGGGGGTGGTCCGGGCGAAGGGAACTCTGCAAATGCACCGATCTTGGCCAGGCCCATCCTGGGCCCAGGATCAGTGCACGCGTCTTGCTGGCCAAGCCAGGAAACCGTATGCACCGATCCTGGGTTCAGGGTGGGCCTGATCAGAATCGGTGCATGTGCACATTTCTCTTTCCTTTTAATGGTTTGCGATCTGCGTCGTTGGGGCGTGGGGGGCACAAGGTTGCCTTCGTCCTGGCCTCCCCGGGGCGCGCCAGAGATCTCTGTCGAGGTCATCGGCCCGCTCCCCCAGGTGCGGGTTGCAGACCGCACCCTTTGCAAGCCACACCCTTCGGAGTCGCCGACCCTCCTCCGCGGCTCTACGGTAGGTTCGTGTCGTGTCGAAGCGGCGGCGACTCCGCGCAGGCGTTCAAAGCTCGATGCGGCCAGTGGTTTGGATTTGCCGTCGACCAGCGATCCACGCTGTTGGAAAATCGCGCGGGTTCGCGGTTGAGCGATCCACGCGGTGTCATCAACTAACGCGCAAGTTGTCACGACACGAACGTGCCGATTCAATATTCCCCCCATCCGTCTCCCTTTCGCCCAGTTGTCGTCCTTTTTGTCCTCGTCGCCCTCCTCGTCCAAGTCATCCACGTCGTCGTCCTCGTCATGCTCGTGCTCTTCCTCCACCCTGTTTTACTCCCTCGTCCTTATCGCCCTCCTCGAACCCCGTCGTCCTCGTCGCCGCGGCGCTCGCCGTTGTGGCCCCTCCCTCACTCCCCTACGTTTTGCTCAGGAGTTTGACGCGAATCCGACCGTACCCCCCCTCCCGCGTGCGCGGTCATAACTGCCGCCGCCGACGCCGACATCCGACGCCGCGGTCGTCCTGCGCCGCCGACGTCGGCATCATCACCGCCAGCGTCGTCGCCGCCGCCGTCGTTGTCGTCGTCGCCGCCGCCGACGCCGCCGCCGCCGTTGTCGTTGTCGTCGTCTCTGGCCTCGTCGGCGTCGCCGTCGCCGCCGCCGCCGTTGTCGTCGTCGGCGTTGGCGGCGTCGTCGTCGTCGTCGGCGTCGGCAGCGGGCTCGTCGTCGCGTCAACGCTGCGGACGCGACTGCGGCCGTCGCCGCCGCCGCCACCGCCGTCCTCGTCTCGTCGTCATCGTCGTCGTCGTCGTCGTCGTCGCCGCCGCCGCGTCGTCCTCTTCATCGTCGTCGTCGGCGTCGTCGTCGTCGCCGTCGTCGGCGTCGGCGTCATCCTCGTCGTCGGCGTCAGCGTCGGCGTCGTCGTCGTCTGCGTCGTCGTCGTCGTCGTCATCGCCCCCGTCGTCGTCGTCGTTGTCGTCGTCGGCGTCGTCGGCGTAGTGGTCGTCGTCGGCGTCAGAGTCGGCGTCATCATCGTGGGCGTTGTCGTCGGCGTCGACGTCGTCGTCGGCCTCGTCGTCGTCGTCGGCGGCGTCGGCGGCGGCGTTGTCGTCGTCGTCGGCGGCGTCGTCGTCATCGTCGTCAGCGTCGGCGTCGTCATCGTCGTCGTCGTAGACATCAGCGTCGGCGTCGTCAGCGTCAGCGTCGTCGTTGGCGTCGGCGTCGTCGGCGTAGTCGTCGGCGTCGTAGTCGTCGACGTCGTGGGCGTCGTCGTCGTCATCGTCGTCGTCAGCGTCGTCGTCGGCGTCGTAGTCGTCGGCATCGCCGTCGTCGTCGTCATCGTCGGCGTCGGCGTCGGCGTCGTCGTCGGCGGCGTCATCGTCGTCGTCGGCGTCGTAGTCGCCAGCGTGGTCGTCGTCGGCGTCGTCGGCGTCGGCGTCGCCGTCGTAGTCGCCGCCGCAGTCGTCGTTGCCGTCGTCGTCGTCGCCATTTTGGCTCAAGCCGCTTCCAGGGAGTAGGTCCCTCGCGGCAGGTGCACGTCCTCTTTTCGCACTGTCGCCGACATTTTGTTGGCCAGCCTCCTCCTTCGGAGGCAGGGAGAGATCCTTCGCTGCCGCCATGTTTGCGAATATTCCTCCTCTCAGTGGTGCTGCCGCTTCATCCGCGGCTGCCGCACACCCCGCAGGAGATGCTGCCGCAGAGGCCGCCAATCGTGCCCGAGTCGACGCTCGCACACCCATGGCCGTGGATGCGGATGCAGATACTGGCGTAGAGATCAAGGGTGTCGCAGGTGCTGCCACCAGCGTCCTGAAGCAGCCCGCCGGGATGCCCGAGGGACTGGAGCCTGGTGAGGCTAGATTAGTTCGAGCTTTGATTTCTGATTTCCGAGCCACGCTGGCAGCAAGTGTCTCGCCCTTCGGGAACAAAGTGGACCACTGTATCGTGAATATCAACAAGACCTCGAAATCGGTGGCCGACCTGAAGAAGGGTTTTTAGATTTGACTGCGAGAGTTAGTGTTTTGGAGAATGGTGGAGGCGGTGGCACGGGCTCGGCGAGTGGAGTTCGGCCAGGTGGCGGAGGGGGAGCTTTCAATAACGGCGCGGGATCGGATCAGTCGTCCGTGCCGCCGCCCGTCCAGCGCATTCCAGTGAATAAGCGCCAGACGTTGTGCATTGGTGGTTTTGAGTACACGGAGGGGGGCGACATTGCAAACGACATCAACCAATGTTTGAGAGATAGTCATCTGTTCGGGGTCCGCCGCGTTTTCGCCGTAGGGAGCTACGCGGACAGGGTGATGGTTGAGTTCGAATGCCCGCAACGGACGTGGGGTTGTCGGGTGAAGATGAAGGGAAAGAAGTTCTCACCGACGCTCGCAAAAGCAGATCGGACCCCCTGCCCGCTGAACCCAGGCAAGCGTCAGCTGCGGCACACCATAAGTAAATTTCCCGAGGAGCTTGCTTGCCAGAACAGAGCCACACACGCGAAGGACCTGCTTCGCCCCATCGTCCAGGCGAAATGGCCCGAGCTGCCCATGGACTCAATCAACGCGGCCATCGACGCGACCAAAGACATGGGCTCTGCGGTCCTCCTTCGGAAGTATCTGCCGCCAGAGGTGATGCCAAGGAACCCTCTGAAGGTGTTCATGCGTGACTTCCCGACCTACAACCTGAAGGTGGCGCAGGGGGCTCGGGACTGGCTCGCGAATGTCGGTTTGCCGCTAGACTTGCAGGGCCAGCTGGAGGCGATCAACGACTCGCCGGGGCGGGGCTCATGACTATCTGGGGGGCAGCGTGCACTCGCATCCAGCGGCGACACCATCATCTCGTCGTGGAACTGTCGGGGGGTCCCGCTCAAGGGTGCCGCGCGGGGGCTGGATCTTATGAGTGCTGAGTTCCATTGGGGCGTCATCTGCGCGCAAGAATTCACTGGCGTGACCGATTTTGATCAGGAGGAGATCTCGGGCCATCCAGTGGTCCTAGGGCCCCCTATTTGCGGGCGGAAAAAAAAAAACGACCTGCGATCCTGGTGCACAAGTCGCTGAAGGCCTGCATCTCTACTGACCCCATGCGAAGGGGGAATAGCATCGCTGTGGGCATTCTGACGCCCCACGGCGGACCTTTATGAGCGGTTTGCTCTCATTTCGCTTCCGATTCTAAGCGCCGCGCTGCGTATCACAATGACTTAGAGGATTGTGAGTCTCTGCTGCAGAGGGCGCCGTGCCAGTATAGCCCTGCGTTGTGTATCGATGCCAACGCGTCCTTCAGCGCGGATCGGTGCCCGACGACCTCGATGGGACCTTTCACGGCCGGGGTGGCTTCCTGGGAGTCAGATGCTTTTCGCGAGATGATCGCGTGCCAAAATCTCGTGCTGACTAACGCCTGGAGCGAACCTACTACAGGACGGGCCACTTGCTTCTGCGACGGCAGGTACGAGCCCATGCAGATAGATTTCATCGCGGTCAGCAGCCAGGTCGCCCGACGATCTTACGATTGTCAGGCCCGCCATTGTGCTGCTTGGAAGAGTGACCACTGCCCGCTCGTTTTTCGCTTATATGCCGCTCGGAAGTGTCGCCTGCGCCTCGTTGTTGTGCCGAACAGACCCTGTGCTTTGATGTCCAAGCCCGTGGGCTGTAAGCTATTTGATTCCTCTTGTGCCAGGCCTTTGGCACCCATGAGGGGGACGGGTATTCGGACGAGCGCCATCCGTCCGACCAGCACGACGGCGACATGCAGCAGGCCGACTGGCGGCACGATGGGGCCCGACAGCACAGCTTCGACACCCACGACTGGGACGACCAGTGCGGCATGCAGAAGGCCCCGTTGCAACAGTTCAGGGGCCAGCACCACGACTTTGACGCCCACGAGGAGGACGAGGATGAGTCCCGCGCGACCGAGGGCCACGATGGCGACCTGCAGCAGATCGACGGGCAGCACGACGGGGAGCTACAGCACTTCCAGGACATCCACGACTGGGACAATCATGATATCAGCGCCTGCGCATACGCTGGCAGCAACGCCATCGCCCACGCCAGCACTGACGCAAGCACCAACGCCGGCGCCTACGCCGGCACCAACGCCAGCGCACACACCAGCACCGACTCCAGCTGCATCGCAGGGCTCCCTCTAGGGAGAAATCACCACGGGGAAGATGTAGATAACCGATTCGGACAGGTCGGCCCGCCTGGTGAAAGGGGCGCCCTCGCTGGTGGAGAGGGGCCTTCGTGTTCGGCATCCCAGGGCGGTCGGACGGGATCCGAGCCGACCCAGTTGTTTCAACAGATGTCAGAACAGGTCGGCCCGCCTGGTGAAAGGGGCGCCCTCGTTGGTGGAGAGGGGCCTTCGTCTTCGGCATCCCAGGGCGGTCGGACGGGATCCGAGCCGACCCAGTTGCTTCAACAACGTCCCTCGTCGCCACGGCTGGATTTGCCTCGGGACTCTGATGGGGCCAACCCCGCACAAGACGTCCGCGACGACGGAGTCGAGCAGTACGTCGGCAACCAGCTCTACGGAACCGAGCTCTACTTTGGCGGTTGCCACGACGGAGGCGAGCAGCGTGTCGGTGGGGGGGGGCCAGCGCCGAGTCCAGTGACGACGCCAGCTACGACTCCAGTGCTGGCAGCATCGACGCCAGCTACGACGCCAGCGCCGACGCCAGCCACGACGCCAGTTACGACGCCAGCGCCGACACCAGCCACGACGCCAGCTACGACTCCAGCTCTGGCGCCACCGACGCCAGCTATGGCGCCAGCACCGGCGCCGGCTCTGGAGCCTCCGCCAGCGCCGATTCCATCTACGACGCCAGCTACGACGCCAGCGCCGACTTCGAATACAACGCCGGCTACGACGCCAGCTCCGGTGGCGCCGACGCCAGCTACGATGAAAGCGGGGACCCCTGCGCCTACGCCTGCACCAACGCCGGCGCCTACGCTGGCATCGACCACAGCGCCTGCAGCAACACCGACGCCAACACCAACGTCCGCGCTTATGCCGGCTCCAACGCCAGCGCCTGCACCAGCACCGACGCCAGCACCAACGACAGCGCTGACGCTGGCACCAACGTGGGCGCCTTCACCAGCATCGACGCCAGCACCGACGCCAGCGCCTACGATGGCACCGTCGTCAGCGCCTACTCCAGCACCGACGCCAGCACCGTGGCCAGCTCTCAAGCCAGCGCCTACACCAGAACCAACGCTGGCGCCGCCACCATCACTGACGCCAGCACCAACGCCAGCGCCGTCGCCAGCACTGACGCCAGCGCCCACACCAGCACCGACGCCAGCACCGACGCCGGCGCCGACGCCAGCACGAACCCCAGCGCCCACGCCTGCACCAACGCCAGTGCCTACGACGGCACCAACGCCAGCGCCTGCAGCAGCACCGACGCCAGCACCTGCGCTGGCACCAATGCTGGCGCCAACACCAGCACCGACACCGGCACCAACGTCCGCGCCTACGCCGGCACCAACTCCAGCGCCTGCACCAGCACCGACGCCAGCACCGACGCCAGGACCGACGTTGGCGCCTACACTGGCACCAACGTTGGCGCCCGCAACAGTGCCGACGCTATCGCCAACGTCCGCGCCGACGCTGCTTTTGCCGGCACCGTCGCCAGCGCTTACACCATCGATGAAACCTTCACCGACGCCAGTTCTCACACCAGGGCCTGCACAGGCACCAAAGCCAGTGACTGCATCAGCGCCGACGCCAGCACCAACGCCTGCGCCTACGCCAGCACCAACGCCAGCATCTGTACTAGCACCGACTCCGGCACCGATGTCAGCACCGACGCCATCGCCTGCGCCCGCACCAACGCCAGCGCCATCACTGTGCCCAGCTCTCACGCCTGCGCCTTCCCCAGCACTGACGCCAGCACCAACGCCAGCTCCGACCCAGCACCAACGCCGGCGTCTACAGAGAACTGAGTCCAGCACCGTCGCCAGCACCAACGCCAGCACCGACCCCAGCGCCTACGCCTGCACCAACGCCAACGCCTACGCTGGCACCAACGCTGGCGCCTACATCAGCACCGACGCCAGCACCGACGCGGTTCAAGCGAGGAGCAAGGCTCAAGAGGAGGAACACGCGGTTGCACTTGAACGGCGTTTTATTCCTCAAAAAAGCACCGACGCCAGCGCCTACGACAGCATCGTCGTCAGCGCCCACACCAGCGCCGACGCCAGCACCGTGGCCAGCCCTCACGCCGGCGCCGGCACCAGCAGCAAAGCCACCGTTTTCCCTAGCACTGACGCCAGCACCAACGCCAGCACCTACGCTGGCACCAACGCGAGCGCCTACAGCAGCACCGGCGCCAACACCGTTGCCAGCGCCTACGCTGGCACCAAGGCGGGCGCCTACACCAGCACCGACGCCAGCACTAACGTCCGCGCCTACGCTGGCACCGTCGTCAGCGCCTACACCAGAACCGACGCCATCACTGTGGCCAGCTCTCACGCCTGCGCCTGCCCCAGCACTGACGCCAGCACCAACGCCGGCTCCGACGCCAGCACCAACGCTGGCGCCAGCGGCGACGCCAGCTACGACGCCAGCGCCGACACCAGCCACGATGCCAGCTACGACGCCAGCTCCGGCAGCACCGACGCCAGCTACGGCGCCAGCGCCGGCGCCAGCTCTAGAGCCTCCGCCAGCGCCGCCTCCAGCTACGACGCCAGCGCCGACTCCAGCTACGACGCCAGCTACGATTCCAACTCGGGCGGCACTGACGCCAGCTACGACGCCAGCGCCGACTCCAATTACGACGCCAGCTACAACGCCAGCGCCGAATCCAGCTACGACGCCAGCGTCGACTCCAGCGCCGAAGACTGCCCCGACGCCAGCTACGAGTCCAGCTCTGACAGCACCGACGCCAGCTACTACGCCAGTGCCTGCGCCAGCTTCAGAGCCTCCGCCAGCTCCCAAGCTAGCTTCGACGGCAGCTCGGACCGCCCCGGCGCCAGCCACGACTCCAGCTCTGACGGCACCGACGCTGGCACCGTGGCCAGCTCGCACGGCGGCGCCTGCACCGGCGCCAACGCCAGCGCCTCCACCAGCATTGACGCCGGCACCAACGCCTGCGCCTACGCCATCACCAACGCTAGCGTCTACACCAGCACCGACGCCAGCACCGACGCCGGCACCGACGCCAGCACCGACCCCAGCGCCTACGCCGGCACCAACGCCAACGTCCACGCCGGCACCAACGCAATCGCCTGCAGCAGCACCGAAGCCAGCACTGACGAAAGCACCTTCGCCAGCGCCTACGTTAGCACCAACGCTGGCGCCTACACCAGCACCGACGCCAGCACCGACGCCAACGCCTACGCCGGAACCGTCGTCAGCGCCTGCACCAGCACCGACGCCAGCACCGTGGCCAGATCTCACGCGGGCGCCTGCGCCGGCACCAACGCCAGCTCCTCCATTGGGGCTGACGCCAGCACCAACGCCTGCGCCTGCGCCAGCACCGAAGCCAGCATCTACGTCAGCACCGATGCTGGCACCGACGCCAGCACCGACCTCAGCGCCTACGCCTGTATCAACGCCAGCGCCTACGCCGGCACCAACGCAAGCGCCTGCAGCAGCACCGACGCCAGCACCGACGACGCCAGCACCGACGCCAGCGCCAACGCTGGCACCAATGCTGGCGCCTACACCAGTATCGGCGCCAGCACCAACGTCCGCGCATGCGCTGGCACCGTCGCCAGCGCCTGCACCGGCACCGACGCCAGCACCAACGCCAGCACCGACATCGGCGCCTCCACTGGCACCAACGTTGGCGCCCGCACCAGTGCCGACGCTAACGCCAACGTTCGCGCCTACGCCGCCTACGCTGGTACCGTCGCCAGCGCTTACACTAACAATGACACCATCACCGACGCCAGCTCTCACGCCAGCGCCTGCACGGGCAACAACGCCAGCGCCTGCGCCAGCACCAACGCCAGCACCAACGCCGGCGCCTACTCCATCACCAACGCCGGCGTCTACGCCAGCACCGACGCCGGCACCGACGCCAACACCGACCCCAGCGTCTACGCCGGCGCCAATGCCAACGCCTACACCAGCACCGACGCCAGTACCGACGCTGGCGCCTACGCTGGCACCAACAGCGCTTACTCCACCGCTGACGCCAGCACCAGCGCCAGTGCCGACACCAGCGCCAACGCTGGCGTCCACACCGGCACCGACGCCAGCTCCACAGCCTGCGCCCACGCTGGCACCAACGCCAGCTCCTCCACTGGGACTGACGCCAGCACCAACGCCTGCGCCTGCGCCTGCGCCAGCACCGAAGCCAGCATCTACGCCAGCACCGTCGCCGGCACCGACGCCAGCACCGACCTCAGCGCCTACGCCTGTGCCAACGCCAGCGCCTACGCCGGCACCAACGCAAGCGCCTTCAGCGGCACCGACGCCAACGCCGATTCCAGCGCCTCCGCTGGCACCAACGCTGGCGCCTACACCAGCACCGACTCCAGCACCGACGCCAGCGCCTACGCCGGCACCGTCGTCAGCACCTACACCAGAATCGACGCCAGCACTGTGGCCAGCTCTCACGCCGGCGCCTGCACTGGCACCAACGCCCGCGCCTCCACCAGCATTGACGCCAGCACCAACGCCTGCGCCTACGCCAGCACCAACGCCAGCGTCTACTCCAGCACCGACTCCAGCACCGACGCCAGCACCGCTTCCTACGCCAGCACCGACGCCAGCGACCCCAGCGCCGACGTCAGCACCAACGCCAACGTCAACGCCGGCACCAGTGCAAGCGCCGGCAGCGGCACTGCCGCCGGCATCGACGCCAGCACCGTCGCCAGCGCCTACGCCGGCACCAAGGCTGGCGCCCACACCAACACCGACGCCAGCGCCTACGCCAGCACCAACGCCAGCACCGGCACCGACGCCCACGCCAGCGCCTGCAGCAGCACCGTCGCCAACGCCTACGCCTACGCTGGCACCC